CCGAAAAAATAAATAAAGACAAAACAAGATTGTCAAGAGATTGTCCTAAAAACCATGCCATAAACTAACCACACTGAAATACAAGTAAAAAAGTTGTAGTGCGTGGCAACGGCATGGCGCAGGGGACTTACCCAAGTTATACCATACATCCATTTCTCCACTTAACGTACGCACTTCAATTATGGTCTGACCCAAGAAGTCATCAGATTCCCGGGTCAATTTCTGCATAAGTTTTGATTTCAAATCGTTGTCTTCATCCCTAAAACAAGGCTAACTTGTGATGCACACATACAGTGAACAACCGAGGAAAACCCTCAATGACTTTTCCTAAATTTCACTTCTAATTTGTAATAAATATCTATAGCACATTATGACATGTTTCATATCTTTTATTTAAACACACATCTTTTTTCACATATAGTTTCTCTAAAAAAAATTAAATACCAAAAAAAAAAAAAAAAATTAATTGAGCACATCAAATCTAATATGAAATATTTTCTTGAAAATTTTTCTTTATTAAGAAACATATGTAAATGACATGGACAGTTATTCATAAGGCAATTAGTTATTTTTCTGTATTGTCATAAAATGGCATATTCCCCATCTCACAACAGAACATTTCAACCCAGTGCCAAATGAATAAACAAAATTGGTTGTGATCAACTATTAAAAGCAAAACGAATTCACACATATATAATAATGAATAACATAAATACTAGAAAGATTCCAGCCCAACAAAACTTTTGCATAAATGAATCTATTCAGCAATAGTTGAAGGCCTCCTAAAGGACCCACAGAATGGTTTTGAACAATTTATACATGTATGTGCTTGTTTCTTCATCCTCTGAAACTTTATTGCTCATCCTCTACCTATAAACAACACTTATAAATTCTAACACCCAACAATGTTGGAAGAACTCAAATGCCAAGGTTGTTTTAGAAATCACTCTTTTTAAGTCACTGAAATGGGCCATAATAAAAACTTCACAACACTTTTTTCAAATCTTCATGAAATAGTCAATCATATGCAAAAAGATTATTTTGGGCTACCCCTAACCAGAAAACTGACCAATCAGCAAGGGCCCTGCTGAAGGAGACATACCTAAGGGATGGGTTGAGGGAATGGTTGATTTGGTAAGATGATAATGAAAAAAAAAGAAACTTAAAATCAAAAAGAAAAAAATGCTAATGTAAAAAATCAGAAGTCGCTGATGGGAGGGTAGCTTGATCTACAGGTTTTTATTTAACAGCAAAGAAAGACAAAGTAGCATATGAATTTGAAACTATGGAAACAATAGAATTATGATCCTCGCATGGTTTAACCTCTTTGTGTGAAAAATTTCATTGAAACTGGACCAAAACTAAAGGAGGAGTTGCCTTTTGAAAAATTTCAAAATTTTTATTATTACTAAACATGGCAACACTGTTTTTGGAACCAAAAACTGATAAATATAGTTGAGTATCTTACTGTAGTCTACTTATTTCACAATTTCTATCGAAATTTAATTAAAACTTTTGGAGTATCATTTTGAAAGAAATTCTTTAAAAAAAAAATTATTTTTGGTATTATAATTACTTTTGTAACAAGTTTTACTGAAGTAATGAGTTTTGAAATAATTTCACAAAAAGTCTCTGAATTTCTCCAAACTCTCTATGATAAAAGTCTTTGATACTGTTAACTCAAATCAGGCAGAAATTGGTTGCTACATGTCATGGTTACCATGGCAACATGTCCTTAAGTTTGAAAAATGGCATTTTTCAACATGTTCAGAGTCCCACAGTTAACGTTTACATCATAGCAAACAAGTAGCAATGATTGTTTCTGAAAGTTGAAGGCCTGATGTCTTAAATGCATGATAAACAAGTTTGGTAAATCAACTATTACATACGTTACTATGGAAACAAAGTATTCAAAAGTAATAATTTTGCTCATTTAATTTTATAAAATCATACACTTAAGAATAAAAAAAAAATATAGGTTGAAATGCAAGCAAATAATAGACAAAAGATCCTTGTAACATATACCAAGGAAAAAATATATTTCTTATAGGTTGGCAATGGTTGCCATGGTTTTAATACCAAGAAGGGATTTTAAATTTACTCTCTTAATGTTTAGATCTAATCCTATCCTTTTAAAAAGCATATTTCTATACAACTAATGATCAATTTTTAAAGATGTTCATGCGACCCAATTTTCACATTTCAAAAAATTCAAATTTAATTCTTTAAATAGAGCGTTGCTATGGAAATAAGCCGAAAAAATATGCATAAAAATCTGAAAAATATTCTGTTTCCTTGGATACGTACCCTTGTATGTAGATTCCCAAAACTTTTATGATTGATAATTATTAACAACTAAGCTGACTTTCAATTTTGACTGCCACCCAATCTCAAACTGGATGCAAAAAGCTGGCACATAAGGTTTAATATTGATGTAAAATTAGCAAAATCAAACATTTTCCCTTCTTGGTTACATAGCAACAGTGTTGTATTTTTCAACAAATGTTATCAATATATGATATTCAACTTTAGTTCTACCAGATAAGTACTATTCAAGGTGAGTCAAATAATATGTTTCTTGAATAAAAGGTAAGTAAATTCCTAAGGCAGCAAAAAAATATCACTTTAAACAACTGGTACATTGTTTCCAAGGTAACACTGCAAAGTAACAATTAATCCCAATTTTTCTTATGTTGTCGGTGTTGCAAGGTCCTAAGGATGTATACGTGCCAGTCATGAAATTTATTGTTTTTCCTGAAGATAGTAGCATCAACCAAATCTTAGCAACACATTTTGCATGGTAACACAGTGTTACCATGGCAACCATGAAAGTTATTTTTAGAATAATATTGCCAATACCTAATTACTTAAGGTCAAATATTTTTATTGTTTTTTCTTAGGTTGTTGATTGAGTTTGATCATTTAAAACCTATCATTGGTGAATATTGAGCGTTTTTCTGCATTTTTCAGCATCTAAAATGTATTCCAAATGTACCCATGGTTACCACTTTCTTAGAGATAAATTCTAAGTAGTTTCTTTATAACATAAGTGGCAACAAGGTGTCAGGTTTTTGTGAGAATGGTTTGTTTGTTACTCTTAGTCTTTATTAAGGCTTAATAAAGATTAAAAGTAGCTGAAAATCTCAATTTTTTCAACTTTTCTGGCTGTTACCATGGCAACCAAGACACATAGCAACGAAATTTTATTTGATATATGTTTCTGGTGTCAAGTTGTAATAATGGGCAAATTTTCATCAAAATCGGTGACCATGTGTGGCAAAGAAGTTTAAGTGGTTACAGAGAATCGCTATTAATTTTTTTTTATTGAAATCAGACAAAAAACTGCAGAGGGAGAAGTGTTTTGAAACAATTTCACAGAAATTACTATTTTCATAACCATGGCAAAACCACAAACCAAAATCCATACAAAGAATTATGCATCTTAGTGTAGGCTACTTATGAACTGAGCTTTATCAAAATAAGACCAAATTGCAGGAGTAGTGTTTGAAAGAATTTCAAAGAAATTTCTTTTTTTAGTAATGATGTTCATTCTTACCATTCATATTCATTAATTCTTACAAGGTTAGGAATCTACATACCCACCACTACGGCAACCACCCAGAGAACATATCAAACTTGGTATGAAAATACATGTATGTCTTACTACTTGCTGAAACAACATGCCAATTTCAAGATTATATGATGATCATGAAAAATTGTGGATGGACGGAAAGGCAGAGTAATTACTATAGGGCACATACAAATTTTTGAATGGCCCTAAAAATGCAGGAATTGTGAGATACAATATGACATGAAACTGTAAGATAACAAGATAAATATACACATCCTTTATAATATTCTGCCAATACACGTATAACTTTCATTCATCTCTGATACCTAAATACTCCAAAATTCTCTCAAGGGTATATCAAAATTTACAACTTACCAAACTCGTACTTTAATTCTATCAGATGAATTATGGCACTCACTGCAATTTAAGAAGAGAACATTTTAAATAAAGCTCTGCATGTAAATATATAAGTGCTCTATGGCAGATCACAAATATGTATTAAACAAATTTACTTTCAACATTTTTTATTCTCTTTAACAAAAATGAATATAGTTATCAATATGATTTCACAGTGATGTTCAAAGAATTGAAGCAAAGAAACAAATTACCATTTTCAAGAAAACCATGGTAACACTACTTAATGCAAGAACATATTTTTTTTGTAAGACATTTAACAGTACATGATTATTGTGAACATTATCTGCAACATCATCTGGGATGAAATAATAGAAAGTAACAGTATACTTACAAATAAAACTTCTCGTTCCAGTCTGGGTTGAGGTTTTGGGGGACGGTTTTTGTGCGTTTTTTCACTTTGCCAACTTGCACCGTGACATAAGGATCGCTGGTACCCGTTTTATCTTTGCCTATCAGGCCTTGAGCACATATCACTGAGGGAAAAAAAATTAAACAACATCAACATTAACAAGTATCTGAAAATTATCATAAGGAATTTTCGTTGACTTTATTTTTTTCATTGTTGGGAATTCTTATCCTTATTAGTTACCACGTACATTAAGGAAATGATCATCTACATGTATTTTAAAATCTTTAAAATGCTTCTGTTCAATTTCAATAGGATAAAATCTAATTTAAAAAAAAAGAAACTAAACTAAATATAGCCATGCAGATACACACTTTACATTGAGATCATTAACAAGCAATGTATTAATGCATGCATGCTACGTACTGTACTATTTCTAACAGTAACTCTAAAAGACTTGTAGTTTATGATAAAAATAAAACAAAAAAAAAACCCATAATGTTATTGTGACCTATGCTAAAGGTATATTGTTATTTCAATTACACGGTAAGCAGCATTGTGAGCAGAACAACCCCGCCATTTTCTTCATACTTTTGTGTGCAGTTCAAAGGCTGGTTGTTGTGAAATTTTATGCAGTAACCAGATGAACTAATACACAGACCAAGGGTGGATCCAAAATCAAATTTTGTAATTTAGGGTAAGCAACTGTTTGATATCAGGCTACACTGTACAAAGAGGTAAAGGATATATATCACAAGCTTTACCATTTAAACCCTTTTTGTTCAATAACAGTGGAATAATTCTGATTTATAAACATCTACAAGCAAGTGATCACCAAAATCGATAAAAAAAAATGAAATAATGGAGTCACATTGAACATTTATAAATGTAAGGAATAATACATCAAGTCTTTCAGGGTTTTTCATTGTGACTAATTATTAACTATAACCTTGGAATGAAAACCATTATAACAAATCCAACACCTGCTAAAATAAACAATTAAATATACAAAACATACTAAAACACTATTAATGATATATTTGTCATCAAAGAATTCTGAACTGGCTGGCGGGTTATGTAGAAAAATACTGCAACCCCCCCCCCCCCCCCCCCTTTTCCATTCTTCCTTCAAATTTCAATGTGACCCAAGATGATAAAGACCATTGATTTACAGTTTATTTTTCTTCTCTAACAATATTTGAAAACCTAGTCATATAAGAGCTATATATAAAAGTCATCATTAGTGCAAAGCAGTCAGCTGGAAGTTCAAAGGATACTTGGGCAGAAATATTAGTGCAGTAAACTTCCCAAGTTATACAGATAATGAACAATATTTTGTACAAATCACTCAAAAGGTATTTCATTCATAAATTTATTGAAATTAAATGCCACTTATTTCCAATGTACCTCTGAGAAAAGAGTTTATAAATTCAACCACTTCACCAAGTTGCTAATTGATTATATTTTTGAAAAAAAAATATTGAAAAACATAATATTTAAGGATGAAAAAAATTTCATATTTCCATAAATAAAAAGTTCTGCATACAAACCAGAGCCCACGATTAGATAATAATTGGAGAAAGTAAGGACTTAGGAAATATATATATATACAGGGGGGTTAAATAGACTGAGTGGAAGGGGATACCTGTTAAAGTGATGCTAGCTGACCATTTTGAGGTGCCATCCAAAATATTTTGTTTGGCAGCCTCCATATAGCCAGCGTGTAGAGCAGGACCAATATCAAAGACTTCCCTGCCAAAAAGGAAATTTAACATAGATCACAAAAACAGCACAACACTCAAACAATATGGCTGTCTATGTCTGCTGAGCCCTGCAGTACCATTTGGTGTGCGTGGTGATCTAAACTAGCTGGCTTAGCATTCATAGACTGTCCATCTTTGACATCATATATAAGCAGGCATATGATCAACTTGAGCTGCACTGCAAACAAAAAGTGACCTTTCTAACTCTTAAAACTTGCTTCCAAATATTTCAAAGTCAATTCCCATATCCCCTTTTTTAATTTTTTTTTTTTAAAAGTTAAGAACAATTACTGTAAACATCATTAAAATGACGGATTTATCTCTCTATTTTTGACTCTGTGATCAGATGCCTGCGTTACTGGCTGATGAACTACAATGGAAACATTCCCCTGTCTTACCAGTAATGGCTATTTTAGCAGACCATTTGGACGTTCCTTCCAGGACACTTTGTTTCACTGCTTTCATGTGGCCAGTATGTGATTTTTTATCCACACCAAATACATTTCTAATGAACAAGGTCATCATGAAATCTTAAAACTTGAAACATGCATCAAAGTGAAAAAGAAAGTAATATTATACAGCTCAATTTTCATCTAAAGGGTGGATGAAGAAATATCACAAATGACCTTGACCTTCGAACTTTACAAAATTGCTGTAATCTAGGACTTCTGCAAGATTCGGTGAACATTATAAAGAGCAAAACAAGTCATATGTACAGTGTACTGTGGTGCTAAATGCTATAAATTAATCAACTTATCAAGTCCATGATATTAAAAGCATGTCGCATTAAACATATAAACAGCTGTATTAGGCTACACATAAAATTGAAATTAGTTCTCGGGCCCACACACATCCGTTTTGAGGCATTGAAATTTTTATCGCATTTTCAATATAACAAAAAGTTGGTAATGCATTGACCAATCTGGCAAAAAAAAATTTCTCCCTCATTTTTTTCTGGAAGTTTTGCACTCAATTTTCGTTTCAGGTAGCCATTTTGTATGAACATCAACCATTCAAAATGGACGCTTTGTTTGCAAAAAATGAAAAAATATGGTTCTATTTAGTAATTTTGCAAGATGTTAAATATATCTACAGAATGCCTCCAGTATAACTATGAAGTAAGAATTTTCATTCAGTGTTATTTTTATAGAAAATTCTGGAATAAAAAAAATGCCTCCCACAGTACATCTAATTTATCTGTTAAAAAAGATTTTTAAAAAAGCCTCCTGCCACTTTTTTAAGAACATTGGTCTGAGAATTGTAATATCAATTTTACTTAGCCATGAAATATTTACAAGTGTTATGCAATCGAACCATCTGTTTTTGAATTATCCATTCAAACAGATGAAACAATATCAGTTAGAGCAAAATAGTGTAACATTCCCATAAGCTTTACCTATGTCCCCAATCATTAAAGCAAGGAAAAGACAACTTACTTGATCAGTTCAAAGATTTCTGGTTTGTTCCTTTCCCTGATTTTCATTCTGTCTCTCATTGCCATGATGATATTCTGCGTCTTATCCTCCGCTCCATGTTTAGAACTCTTCTCTGCAGCACCTGAGAACAAATGACCATCACTTTAGCAAAAACAAATCAATGTCCAACCTGTCAGGTTTTAGCCAAATCCTCACATGATCAATTTTTCAAAGCTTCTCTTAAGTATATAGGTAACACAACAAAGCCTTCAACTACACATTGATTACTTACTGACAAAAACAAAGCAAATCATTTTCCAACCATGTAAATCATTGTTTTTACGTAATTTAACCTCTATGCCCCAAATAAAATTTAATGAAGAAATTGAAATGAAAGAATTATGAAAACATTTCAAATATTAGAAGCCTATGGCCTTGATGATTGCCTGATTATCAAGACTTTCTCTTGATAAGACCAACTCAGCCCTACTCGGAAATGACTATCTGGACACATGCAACACCAATTTTACAATTTGGCAAGAACACTTTACTTATAGTATTATTTGTAAAAATGTTCCTAGATGATTAGAAATATATATATTTTTTTACAAAAAGATTATAATCTGCAAACCTCATTTTTTCCTGCAAGAAGTCCATTAAGTTTAAGGTAATTATGAACAAATTGGCCCCACCCAGGGGCCTGAAGCCTTGACCTAGGGGACATGAATTTCACACTGGTAGGTGCAACTTCGAATCAGAAACAGATTTTCTGCTTAATGACTAGGATATTAAAGAAAAATTTTAAGTATCACATGAAATTTGACAGTTTTGCCTCATCCCACAAAATTTATAGTTTTTGTTTCCTTTTGTCCATAAGATATCATAAACCAAGATTGGCTGAAATTAGTCCAGCCATTACAGACTGTTCTCAAACATCACACACATCAGTATGTACATAGATAACAATAGGTCACCTGAGTAATTCAGGTGACATAACAAAACACAGGGCAATGATTTCTATAAAATTCCCTATAAATGTCCACTGGATTTCATATCATTTCATAACAAGTTGCACTATATTTTAAACCTTACTTCTATAAGATAAATCAAAACCATTATCCCTCTGAAATATGAGAAAAATTCAAAGAGGCTTTTAAAACCATATATTAATTCATCAGTATTAATATTGGGTGTGAAATACTGGTATTCCTTCTACATTAAAAAATACAGCCTTAAACTACATTCACCAAGTGTGACAATGTTTAGTTAAGGCGCATGCACTGACTGTAGTAGTTAGAAGTACTAGTCTCTTCTCACACTGAAAAGTGATTGTAGAACTCACGTTGCAGGCAGTCTGCATTAAGTAGGTCTTTACACTTCTCATGGCATTTGACGCCGCACTCCGTACATCGGACACCTTGTCTCACCATTCCCCACAGGAGGCCACCACATTCAAAGCAGTATGTGGGAGAGGTGGCAGTCCACACCACAAAATTGTGTGGTGTCGTGCTGGAAATTGGATAGATTAAAGCCTGGAGGGTCTTTTTGTACACGTGCATTTTCTAAAAAAAAAAAAAATAAAGCAAGATTTTAACATAAAATATCCTCACGTTTGTATACATGAAATAACCTTAAAATGAAGAAACCTGTTATAATAACAACTGTAAAGTTTAAAGTTAAAATATGCATTAAATAAGAAAGACACAAAATTCTCAATTAGATTTAGGGCCCATAGCTATAATTATTATCATACATACAGTTTGCTTGCTAAATGTTAGGAATAAATCAGCTTTTCAAAGGAAGTAAATCTCTCTATTATAAATTTTCAAAATCAATGACTAATTTACCCCCACCTTAAGTGGCCCTGCCCTAGCTCAGGGGGTCATGATTTGAACTAATCTAAATCTCACTACTGTACAGTAGGATGCTTGCAGATAAATTTGAATAAGTTGTAGTCCTACTGGTCTTGAGAAGAGGTTTTTAATGACTCTCGATTCACTTATGAAAAATGTTTTGTATTGAGGAAATCATAATGTATAAAAATATAAATATTCTGTTTATCTAGTGTAAATCATTTTTTATACCCCCAACCAGACACTCTTCCTCACTTGCTGGGAACCTTTGCAGTACCTATGCCCCTAGCTATCTAATAATGTCCCCTCTAATGCAATGAATTAATGTAGCCTGGTTGCAATCTTTTTTTCAGGCACTGTATAATCATAATAAATTCACTGGAAACAATATTTATTTGTTCCTGTATAACCTGTTACCACAATTTCTTCTGGAGAGAAAACTTACCAATTCCTCATCTTTCAAAGATTGTCTGGCTACCATCGCAGAAGGTGCATTTCGTTTGGATTGCATAGTCTGAAAACAGTCATTTGTCAAATTATTTAATCAAACCTTCCACAGATGAAAAATTTCAAGAACAAATTCAACAATATTTAATTAAATATTTCATTTTTTAAACAAAATTCTATTAGATACACAAAATGCACTACAACAATCCAAATATATTTTATACACAATCAAACAAAATCCAAATGTCATCTTATAGTTTTTTGCACTGAGCTAAATTAAATTGTGTTTTCAAATACAGCATTTCTCTCCCCCCCCCCCCTTTTTTTTTTACTTTGTAAATAAAACCACACACTAATTGATTTTCAACTTTCATGGTCATTTTGTCTTTGAAATTGTATGACATATGTATATGAACTACAGATTTATGCATCATCAAATGGATGAAGATTCATTAGATGCCAAAAATAAACAATTTAAATGTTGATAATTATCAGCCAAACAATTAAACCCTTGTGATGAGCTTTCATATTCAGATATTTCAGACGGCTTTCTCAGCTAATCAATGAAAACTGAGAATAAAAGTCAATTCCACACTTCGGCAGCCAAAAAATGCTCAATTGTTAAAATGTTATGCAAACACTAGCATTTGCTGAAGACTTTTAATTGATTGAAAAAGAATTACATGCACTACTCTTTTCTGATTCCATGCATTTCTGGTGCTTGTGTGTAAAATGTGTTGCCTATCTTGAATGAAAATTCAACATTTTCCAAGAATCTACACTACAAAAATTTCAAGCTACAATTTTCATTTTAAGAGATTTTCTAATTAAAAATAAAAAAAGGTGCAAGTTTAACTATTACACTTCTTACATTGCGCCAACACTGTAAATAGTGTGATATTAGCTAATAACATCTGCTAAACAAAATGAACATAATTCAAAAAGATGTGTCTGTGGCTATAAATAGTAATGTGCAAGTATTTAGTAGAAAGCCTATATAATAGATAATCTTAGAAAAAATATTTATAATTATAAAGAAAACAATAAAAACAATTTGGCTACCAAAAAACGTGTTTTAGGCCATTCACATCAAAAAATATCTGTTACACCAATCAAGATTATGAAATTTTCATGAAAGAAACAGACAAAATGAGCAAATGTTCTAATATGAACTGCTACACAACATGTCTACAGCTATCACATTCATTAATGGAGAGAATACCTTAAGAACCTGGAAAGCAAAAAAAGCCAACGTTTTATTATTTGAATAATTTGAAAAGCCAATAACAGTCAGGATAACAATTAATCTGTCTTTATAGCCAAGGACAAAACAAACAAGTCCATGCTATTTTTAATTTTCCGATTTTGCAGACAAACAGGAAATTTATCACCATGAAGCACACTCAAGGTCCAAAGCTCACCCTGAAAGGAGTTTAATTACTATAAAATGTTTTTCACATCTTTTCTCTGTTGATATTTGAGTATATAGAAGTACATAGCATATTTCTTAATGTAAGAAATACTTGCAATGTATCTAGCTTACCAGAATGAGTCAATTTCTTCATTCAGATTTCAAACAGATAAATATATGTGTGAGCATACAAATGTATCTGTTCAAGGCTGACGAGACAATCGGGAAAGAATTGTTTAAAAATATATATATAACTTTTGCCATTGCCAGAAAAATTAGAGTACATGGTTATTAAACAACGTCTGTGTCACTAGCATGCTCAACTGATGGTGGTCAGATATAGCTCAGTTGGTAGAGCACCTGTTTAGAGTTCAGGGGGCCTGTGTTTGAATCATCGTCTATGGCATTTGCTCCCTTTTTGTTATGTTTGGTGCCATAACTGAGATGTGACAGGTAAAAGATCTGCCTAAAAAGAGCATTGGTTGATGTCTTCAGGGACAAAATCATTTAAGTAAGGAAGTTAAGGAGGATATTGCCCATGGTCAGATAGCTCACATGGTTGAGCATGTCTGGATTTCAGGGGACCTGGGTTCTGAATTCTGGTCTTGTAATATGGTTTTTATATGTAATCATTTTTTTTAACAATGAATAACTCAATACTTAAAATTCTATGAACAAAGCACTAATATGAAAAAATATACCGTTATAAATTAAACTACCTAGAATCCAAATCATTGTGAAAAAATTCAGTGTTTATGTAATATTAAAAAAAAGCAAAAAAAAAAAAAAAAAAACCCATAACTTATTAATCCTTTTTATCTGCATAGATAAAAGGCCTAACTATTCATTTTTCAAGTGCTTACACATAAATTAAATCAATATTTTATTATATTCCTGCACATTTTTATCCTTTTTATTGAAAAATATGAGTCAAGTTTTGGCCAAATAATTCAAGAACTTTTTAATGTGCAACACCATGAAGAGAAACACTTCAAACAAACTGCTTAGGCAAAAAAGAATTTCATTTCCTCAATAATGATTTAGTTATGATGATCAATGCAAAAAGTTATAGTTGCCTATACCTCCAAGAAAAATCATACATGAACACAAATCATTATTTAATTAAATATGAAAAAGTCTCAATAGAGTTTTTGAAAAAAAAAGAATGCACGGATATGACCAAAATGAATCACAATCCTGCTTTGCCTTTAATACATATAAATATCAGTAATGTTACATAATCCAGAAGTCTCTGTCTAGACAGTAATTTTATTAGTCTGGAATTATGACAGGTTGTGCTTTAAAAAAAAAAATTCTCTGAATTTTCAAAAATTTCATTGCTGTAATATACGTATCACTTACATGTATATACTTTGAATAAAAAACTGTATAAATGCATGGGGCAAGAAAAAATATTGATGCTTAACACTTTTCCAAATCAGAGCCCTTCTGGGTTTTTTTTTTTAAGCCAGTATAACTAAATCCTGAAAAGGACTTGTATATATAGATACCCTAATCCTTCCAAGAGAGAAAATAATTTGCAGTATAAGCCTAAATGTATCTTGCATAGACAACACCAACCAGAGAGGTTCTAGAATACTTAACATGCTGAAACCCATAATAACATAAACTCAATGCTTCATATCTCAAGACAAGTCAGGGAACAAATGGAAGCAGATGTAATGCTGAGGCTTCATAGTAAAAACCTTCTCAATATTTTATAAATTTATAAGATTATGTTATGTAGGAATATAAAGGATTTCTGGCAAGGGGTAGGGGGTTAATATTTACTGACAGAACAAAAAAAGATGAAAATCTACGAAATATGGTAATATTCTGCATACTCTGATTGAGATAAATATCATATGTACTCACCATCTATTTTTATCTGATCTGTATAAGAATTACTTACCAAGTCACTAACAAGAGCAACCGATTTTCGACGGGGTAGTGTAAATTCTGGAATAGTGTCCAGACAACTGTAAATATCATTGTGCTCTGGCCTACAAACATCAGAAAATACTATTCACATGGCAATTAAGATGAAAAACAAGAGGCTCATGGGCCACAATGCCCACCTGAGTCACTAATGGTCCTGTTCTTCTCCATCAGCAGTTTTTTACCAATATAATTCATCTAAAACTTTGATCACTAATTGTGGCCCCATCCTATCCCCGAGGGGTAATGATTTGATTGATTGATTGTATATTGTTTTACGTCCCATTCAAGAATTTTTCACTCATATAGAGACGTCACCATATACCGGTGAAGGGCTTCAAATTTTGACCTTTACTCGGCACTCAGGGCCATTGAGCAGTGAGGGATCTTTATCGTGCCAACGCCTGCCGTGACACGGGGCCTCGGTTTTTAAGGTCTCATCCGAGGACCCGCAACTTTCACTTCAAAGTGCCGAGCACATGGCGAAGGAACAGTTGCTACCTATTTTTTATCGACTTAGGTCTGTCGCAGCCAAGATTCGAACTCACGACCTCCCGATCATGGAGCGAGCGCTCTTCCGACTGAGCTACCGTGAACGGTTGGGTCATGATTTGAACAAACTTGAATATGCACTACCTGAGGATGCTTCCATATTAATATGACTAATCATGGCTTGCTGTTCCTGACAAGAAGATTTTTAAAATATTTTCCCAATATATTCCTATGTAACAATTTTATCACCTATTGAAACCCCACCCTACCCCTGGGAGGTCATGATTTGAATAAACTTGAATTTGCACTACCTGAGGATGCTTCCATATAAAATGAGTAATCAGGACTTTGCTGTTTTTGAGGAGGAGATTTTTAGAAGATTGTTCCTATATATTCCTACGTAAATTGTGGCCATACCCTACACCTGGGGGTCATGATTTGAACAAACTTGAATCTACACTACCTAAGTATGTTTCCATATTCATATGACTATTCAGGGTTTTCTTTCTTGAGAAGAACATTTTTAAAGACGTTTTCTGATATATTTCTATTTAAAACTTTGATTGCTAGGGGTCATGTTTAGAATAAATCTGAATATACACTAAGTAATGAGGCTTTCACTCAAGTTTCAACTTTTCTGGCATAGTGGTTCTTGAGAGGAAGATTTTTCAAAGATGCAATTATAAATTTTCATCAATTAAATTCCTATTCATCTCCCATTGAAAGAGGGCATGGCCTTTCATTTGAACAAACTTAAATTCATCCAAGGATGCTTTGTGGTAAGTTTGTTTGAAATTGGCCAAGTGGTTATGGGTAAGTCAAAACTGTAAAATGTTTACAGATGACAGACAGATGGATGCAGGACACTTTTGATCAGAAAAGCTCATTTGAGCCTTTGGCTTAGTTGAGCTAAAAAGTCTTCTTTGTTAAGAAAATGCTTGAAACCATGCATAGAAAAACTGATTTGAAATTTATTGAATCTGCATCTTGCATTTAATATTTTCACCAAATTTGAAATGATTTCAAGCATTTAGATGCTTATTAATCCCTTAAATAATGATCAAGTTTAATTACAATAGATTCATTTATGAAACATAAAGGATGATCACAGCAGATCATCAATACATTAAGCTTTTCAGATAACAAAATAACAATGTAGAAACCAAATTTCCTTTAAGCTGACAAATACGCAGGTTAAATTAAAATTCTGTACAATCACAACCTGTGAATTATTAAGCCTGTTTAATTTCATTAACTTCAAAGCAATTCACAATTCATTTACCCTCCATTTGGGTGTGTCCACTTGTCCCGAGCATCTTCTGAATGACCCATCATATTTATTCCTTCCTGCAAAAGACAAAGCACCAGTCTACATTAACCAAACATGGAAGCAACACATTATCGATAGGCACCTGTTCAATCTTACAGATAACTATTATCATTTAAACAGGTTCTTTTTTTATTTTCATACCCTGAAAATGATGTCAAAAAGAGATAACAGGGAAAATGGAAGGTCGATTACATGAAATCGATAACTAAGAGACCAATAAATATTCATTAATGTTAATTTTTTAAATGGTTATGTGATCAATGCCTGCCAGTCGACACTTATGTGAAATATCTAGCTGTCTTTTGATTTCAAGTGTTTTTTTTAGTATTATATGTACAACAAGTTCAGAAAAAATGGAAATAGAACTGCTTGTGAAAATTTGCTAGTTCTTCTTTGAATCAAGAGCTTCATTTTGAATGAGAGGGAAAAAATCTATATTTTCAAACTTTTTTTTATTGTTGGAAAAATTCACAGTTCACCAGTATTTAGAATGTTTCTAAATCAAATACATCAGAGATGTCTGGTGGTTACTGTAATATATGTAACTTTGAACACAACGTGTTGCAACTCATTATGATAACTACATAAACATTCTCATTCATCGGCACTTAAATTTAATTAACACGATTGAAAAAAGAAGTTATGACCACTAGCTGTGTCAATCATGTACATCAGAGAATCAGAAATGTGCAGTTCTCTTTGACCACCTTGCAGGTCTTTACAATTGTGAAAATGACATAAATAATTAACTATTTAAGTGCAACTTAAACTATTTCTACAAAATTTAATTTAATTTTAAACATGTGCGAGGAAAAAATCACACATTGGAAAAATAACCATGAAAAATTCAACAGGACTGATTTTCAAGTTTGTCTTTGATGTCTTTCAATTTACCATTTAATCTATAGGCAGCATGTATTTAGAATTCAAAGATATTTGCTTCCAAGTGATTTCTTTTTTAGGATAAATTTGTCTTTGCAGAAAAATTGAATTTTAAAGCGTATTTAGGAATATCATTTGATGAAAAATTCAGCAGGATTGATTTTTAAGGCAAGACTGATTTTTTAATTGTCTCTCTTATCTTATACTACATGTAAGCATTTTAATCTTTAGATGATGGTGTACCTGGAAGATATTTGTTTCCAACTGATTTCTGTTTCTTTATGACCAATTTGAAAATTAAATTTGTTTAAGCATTAGTTTTCCAAGAAAAACTTAATATAAAACTATTGAACTACATATATATTATGTTTAAATTGATCCTAGCTGATCTAAAAGATTGTACATGCATGTTCAAACAACAACAGAAAATCAATTTGTTTAAAAAAAAAGCATACTTCTTGAGAGCTAACGTAATGAAATGTAATAAAACATCCCATCAGCCACTAGCCAGTGAAAATACAAACCTTCACCTGGCATAATCTGAAAAACTGTGCCACTCCATTTTGCTCATGTATTGAACTGTAGTCCATTTTGTTATTTTTTATGTTATAGAGTGACCATCCTCATACATCTGTGGTCTATGACCACCTACTTTACCTGAACTAATACCCCACCTATACTGACTAATACATAAGTCTCCATCTCACCTGTTGCATCTGTACACCTGGTTCTAATCAACTCTTAGGTTTAATACCAACCCTTTGGTTGTGAGAGTCCATTACTCTATAGTTTACTAGTAATTCACACCATAGCCCCAGGTTTGACTTTATACCCTTTGAACACCATTTTACGAACTTCTTTCTCATGATATGAGTGCAAGGTAGTTAAATAAGTAATCAATATGTGAATAATGTTTGGAATAATCATAGCATATATATCGATAACTTTTTTCAAAGTTTAAAGATTGAATCTTTTATGTACAAAATTGTACATATTACCTTAATACATCATGTTTTTATGTTTAAACATATGCCCTCAAAAACTGTCATCCAACAATAATTAGTTCATCAATTCCAGTGAAGGCCACATTTAGAACCTTATAAAGGTTTACATTAGACCTTATTCCGACCTTTGTTCTTAGTAAGCAATCCATTAATCAAAATTCAGCCGTCCAATTTTACAGTAGGAAATAGCAATAAATTTGTACCTGGGAGCCAAGATTTTCAACAGCATCCAAGCAATTAGTGTTGAAGTGCACTCGTTTGATTCTATCTCCCACAACGTCCTCCTCTTGATGCCTTTCTTGATGGCTTGTGTTTTCATTGAAAAGTAGTTGGAGGCAATAGTCATCCTCAAAACTCTTGTAATAAGCCTCATTGCAAGCGACCTCTGAACTTTGAGAATGTCTCCTACTTACATCTACCAGATTGACTTCTTGCTGTGCAGCAATACACTTTGACCAAGATGAACGACTAAAGGAACCTGGTCTTCCATTTGTCATATGGTTCCTCTCTGCAGGAATATCCTCGATTTCATCAGAAGAGCAATTATTGTTGTCATTTTCTCCTGCATTTTTCTCATCCAGTCCTAAGGACGATGTTAACTTCTCCAAGATCATCCCCATCACTGTTAATTTGGTCAATACTTCCTTTAAATCAAAGCATTTGTTTCCCCACAACTTGTCTGTTGAATACAGAGACAGAACCCTGTTGCCCCTAAGCCTCCATTATGTAAGTGATATACGGTTGTCTCCTAGCTTTGGATGTCATTAAGGCAAATAATGAGAAGAGAAGATCCAGTTTTTTGTCTGCTAAGGCTATGATTATGTTACCAATGAGCATACAGAATCATCATTCACTGCTTAATTTGTTGTTTTACCAAAACAATATGTCAAGATATTCGAGACCTGCATGGCCATTTCCCCTTTCAAACTGTTTTAAATTATTGCCTTCTTCAATCTACATTTTTCCAGTGTATTCAAACATGAAATCTTTTTATCATCATTTTTAATCTAGTACCTGTATGTGATATTTGAACTAATTGTTGAAGAGTAAAATGCTCTCCTAGGTAATCTCATTTCCGAATTTATTGAGAGTTAAACTGGATTGTAAGTGTATGAAACTCTCTCAACTATAAAATATTGTCACTACAATGGCATATAACAGTCAAGAGTGACATTGAAACCAAGCAATGCTTCAGACTTATGTCACTATATAAGGGCACTATATAAATACTTGGACAATGACTGAATCATGCAAGAATTTCCATAAATGCATCAAAAAATTTGTAAGAATTTGTTACTTAGTTGATTAGAGTAATATTATCCAAAAAAAGATGTAATTTTCTTCTTTAGAAATACCAAATGTGTATTTACTCCTACAGAGGCTCATTATCATCTTTAATAATCAAGTAAATATAACTTAATGTTCCAAATGACAGCTGCATTGATGCCATGGTGGCATCAAATAGTTTCATCATTGCGTACTGGCATGAACTGAATGCAGAGCTTTTTAAACATAAATATCTATATGTTACAAAAGATAGAGTCACTGCTAAGAAAGTTTCAAACTTGTTTAATATGCCAGTTTCACCATTGTTCTCCAGAAATTATCCATACTGTTGGCTGGATGGATAGTACATACATTTTACAGTATGTGGTCAGTCACATACAGTAAGACTGTTCCAATTACCGGTAACATAGATAACCTCTACTTTTAACAACATACTTTAATTAGATATTTCACATCAGATGAAGTCACAGCTTCCCTCCCAATCTGATTTTTATGCCCCCGTATCGAAGATTTGCGGGTATATAGTTTTTGCCCTCTCCGTCCGTCTGTCTGTTTGTCAGTAAAAACTTTAACATTGCCCATAACTTTTGATTGGTTGGAGCTATGGCTTTCATATTTCACAAGTATATTCCTTGTGACAAGACCTTTCTTTGGGTACCATCATATTTGACCTTTTGAATTGGAGTTTGACCCAGTTTTGGAAAATTTTACCCAACATTAACCTTGGCCATAACTTTTAAACGGTTGATGCTAGGGCTTTCATATTTCACGTGTGTAATCCTCCTGACAAGATCTAACTTTAAATACCAACAACTTTGACCCTTTGACCTTGACCTAGGAGTTTGACCTACTTTTGAAAAACTTTAACCTTGGCCATAAGTTTTGAACGGTTGGTGCTAGGGCTACTTCACTTATTTAATCCTTTTGACAAGACCTTCCTTTGGATACCAACAACATTGACCCTTTGACCTTGACCCCAAAGTTTGACCTTCTTTTGAAAAACTTTAACATTGGACATATTTTTTGAACAGTTGGAGCTAGGGCTTTCATACTTCACATATATTATTTATATATTTCATGTGACAAGACCTTCCTTTGGATACCAGCAACTTTGACCCTTTGACCTTGAAGCTGACCTACTTTTGAAAAACTTTAAGCTTGGCCATAACTTTTGAACAATTGGTGCTAGGGCTTTCAACTTTCACATATTTAATCCTTTTGACAAGACCTTCCTTCGGATACCAACAACTCTGACCCTTTGACCTTGGAGTTTGACCTACTTTTAGAAAACTTTAACCTTGGCCATTAGTTTTGAATGGTTGGTGCTAGGGCTTTCCTACTTAACATGTAAATTCCTTGTGACAAGACATTCCTTTGGATACCAACAATTGTAATCCATTGACCTTGACCTTGGAGTTTGACCTACTTTTGAAAAACTTTAACCTTGGCCATAACTTTTGAACGATTGGTGCTATGGCTTTCATATTTCACATGTATATTTCTTGTGAGAAGGCCTTTCCTTGGGCACCATTAATTTTTACCATTTGGCCTTGATCTTGATGTTTGATTTACTTTCAAAAAACTTCTACCTTTTCCATATCTATTCAATGGTTGCTTCTAGGGCTTTCATATTTCACAGGTATATTTCTCAAGACAAGACCTTACATTGGGTGTCAACATATTGGATTTGCATTTGAGGAAGGTTAACCTTTGCTATAAGTTGCCATACAGGGGCATCAGTGTTTCACAAACACATCTTTTTTTTAATGGTCATGCAAGGACATAAATTAAATGACCCCGAACAGGCAACAAAATCTTAACATGACCTCTCTTATGATGAAAAC